TTCTTTCTTTTTTTTGGTACCAGGAATCAAACTCAGGACCTTTCGCTTGCCGGGCAGGTACTTGTGCCACTGAGCTATATCCCTGGCCCTGTATTCTATATTCTGAATATTCAAGGTATGTTTTATGTCTATCTATAGCATACTCTATAAAGCAGAGGCAATAGGATAATTGTAACAGGAGGGAACAGAAGTAATAAAAAAGAAAGTGGGTAAGTCTGCCTAGAAAAGTGTAAATGTGCATGCGTGTGTATATAAAGTATACTACCAGCAGCAATGTTTACTATGGACCAGATACATTTCTAGGAGAGTAAAAGCTGCCACTCAATTTGTTTATTTTCTAAATTTAGTTGTAGATGAACTGAGTTTTCTCAAAGTAACTTACTCCTGTGGCCCTTTAGACGTGAAATTTAAGAATAAGGTTTTCAATCACTTATAGAAGGCTTTGTAGAAGATTTTTACTACCATTACACTTCTGTGTCCTAAATAATGTCAGAAGTTACTATCTGACTCAGTGTCTTTTATTTATCCTTTGCTATGCAGAATAACATTTCTCAGTCGCTGAATATGTACAGTACCAATTTTCCAGTGGAGAAAAAAAACTTTGAAATTCAAGGTAAAAAGTTCCTTTGGTGAACTTAAATTTTGAGTTTCCTGAGTTAATGTTGACATTTTAACATATAAAATACTCCACTAAAATAGTTTCTTTTTTGTATCAATTGCACAGTCTGGTCAGGAACACTTTTAGCAAAACACAGTTTATTATTCTGAGCCTTCTACTTTTATGAGTGCTAGTTGTTTTAGTTTTATAAACCATTTTATGTGAAACATCATGTGCTATGAAGCATCTCTTTTCCCCTCCTTCCCTGAGTCTAGAGCACCAAGGACGTATACTAGGATCTAGGTACCAAACATCTTACAAAAGTGACTTGGCATTCTCCTAGGTTGCTAATCTAAAATCAGCACAACCATCTTTCAGTACTTTCCTGTGTAAGAAATCTGCTTCTTGGTACATCCATTTTATTTAAGGTTTTTCAGTTTCACTATATATAGAGATACCATTTTACATGGCAGTGACCCAAATGGTAAATTAGTTCCTTGTAATTACTGATTACACATTCCTTGTTCATTTGGCTGAGAAAGTAGAAAATTGCTAAAAAAAAAAAAAAAAAGAAAAGAAGAAAAAAAAGTTTATAAACTTTCTGAAACAGTAAGTTTGTTGAGAGTACACTGCTAACATGAAAATAGTCCCCCCTTTTAAGATGTCAGTATTTTTTTTAATTTAATTAAAAAATTTTTTAGTATTTTTATTTATTATGAGATTATCTATGATGTTCAGAAGCATAAGGGAATGTGGAAGAAATTGCCTAATTTACCAAAGAGGCCAGATTCATGATGTGAGTGACAGAAGAGCTATAAAGCTTCATGTACACAAACCCAAGAGGCTCAAACCTAGCCAGAAAAGATACAGTACCAGAGTGGCAGAGAAACTGACTCATTCCAACCTTGGAAGAGAAGAGTCATCCCCTGGTACCTATCAGTGGATGGTTGGCTCCAGGGCCGATCATACCTCAGCATCCCTTGGTATTCAACTCACTGCATAAAAGGGCACAGTATTTGCATATAATTTACATTTATTCCCTTGCATACTTTACATGATCTCAAGATTACTTAGAATCCCTAACTCAATGGAATGCTATCTCACTAGTTGTTATTCTTATTGTCTAGGGAATAGTGACAAGAAAAGCCTGTAATTGTTTGATACAGATGTAAAGTTTTTGTGGAATATTTTGACCCATGATTGGCTGCATTCACACATGCTGATCCCGTGGGTGTGGAGGCCCCTGCACTTCCACGCAAGAATCTGGGAGAGTATTACAAAGGAGTTTGTTGCAATGTATACTGCAAAGATTTCGCTTTAGGAAAAAGATGTCTTGGGAGTCCTGTGAGCTGCCACAGCAAAGTTATTTCATGACCAAAGAGTTGTTAAGTTTGGATAAGAGACAAGGGACATTTTAAGTTTGTCTGATTCTATGTTTTGTATTTGTTTTCTTTGCCAAGAGGCCATGGGCAGAAGTAGCATCCATAACAAGACTCCCAGTTCTACTGATCCTGGCAAGTCTCCCGGACATAAAGGAATCAGTCTGGGGGAAAGCTTAGGACGTGGAGTTTTCCCGTTGTCCCTATGCTGAATCAATATTCTAATCTAGTGACAAGCAGAGAAATAAATGATCATTTTCCTCTTTTGGGTAGGGATACCTGGGGCATGCAATTAAATGAACGAGCAAGACTCAACCCATGGGCTGGGGATATAGCTCAGTGGCATAAGCACCTGCCTGGCAAGCGCAAGGTCCTGAGTTCAATTCCCAGTACCAAAAAAAAAAAAAAAGACTCAGCCCATCCAGTTATTCAGCAAACCCTGATAAGGTAGGCCATACATATTAGGAGGGAAGGCAGTATCCCCAAGCCTTACTTCTCCTTGTTGTGGCTTTCCCTCCTCTCCCCTTACAAGGGAGAATCCTGTCAATCTGGCTCTTCAGCTTGTGAAAGTAAATGCTGAATCTCAAAATCTCAAATTCCAGTGTTGCTGAGAAATAATAGTGTAGGAGGAGCTCACAAGGCTTGGGGCTGGGTAAATGGGTGGTGGACATGTGCAAGGTCAGGATTTGCTCTGGAACAACTGCAGCCTGGACACACTGTTATTTGAGCACCTCTCTACAATTTCTCAGTTTTAGACAATTTCCATTCAAGGTGTATCCCTGCCTACCCTGATGGCTTATTTTGCTGCTGGATAAACATTAATGCCTGGCCCCCTTTTTATGGTACTCAGACCCCCTTCCTGTAAGTTTCACCTTTGCTTACAGGCACAGATTGGCCTATAGGTCAAACCAATGAAGTATAGGAAAAGATTTACTGTTTCTCATTTTATCAGATTGTTTACCAACTATTTTAGTCCTAAGACTGAACTGGATTGCTACACTCTTGAAATACAATGGACTTTCCAGGTATCCTGACTTTGGGGAACTTACCTCCATGCATAAGAGTTTGGGAAAAAAGAAATCTTTAAAAAAGCTCCACATGCAAAAGAAGAGAAGGCAGTTGCAGTTTTTCAATATGTTACCAAGCACAAAGTAACCTTCTCTAACTAAGCAGGCTGTTGGAGGCTTAAAGTATGGATTTACATTTCATCTCAAGGAGTGTTCAAAAGGATTGTTGAAAATAAAAGTATTACAGTAATATCCAAAAGAAGCAGAGATCATCTAAGTATGTGCAGCGCCAGGATAGTGATAGGATGCCAACTTTGAGTTTGCAATCGTAGCACTTTTGTAGAATTCCTGTTTCTTTTCATCAAGAATTTCTGATTTTTGGGGGGCAGATATGGAAATATTCCAGCTAAAAAAACTAGAATATCAGAAGGAAAACAATATATTCTTTAAAAATCCAATTTAGAGTGCACCGAATTAAAAACACAGACAACTCAACTGAGACTTCTGCTGCCAGAACACTCTAGCGAAAAGTTGTCAGGTGAGAACTTCGTAGGATAGGTGCCAGTTCCTTGCTAAACCCAAACTTTTAACACCTTAAAAGATACAATGTTTAAAACGACTTCATATTTAACCTTGTCAAAAAGAAAGGAATCCAAGCATTCCTGGGGGTCTGCCTGTCTCCCACTGATGAGGATTAGGCAAGAGGCCACCTAAAAACACACCAAGTTCAGAGCCCAAGTTCTGCTCCCTGCTGCAGTCCATGGCTTTAAATAACTGCAATTTACTGCATCCACAGTATGGGAAAGCAGGACAGCCTATTTTAACATGGGCTCCTCATCTTTCAGCCGGGGAGCCAATGGATGTGAGGAAGCCCATTCGTGCAGCATTGAACTGGCACCGCTAGCACAAGACCTGGGCCTCCCCTCTTATCCTGTGTTCCTTCCCTGTCACCTGCTATTGTTCTACTTCAGAGGATGACTGCACGAATGAGTTTCTATTCCTCCCAAGGGGAGGCACACAAAGCTATTTTTGCAACATAGTGATGCCATTACTCCAGGCCTCCACCCCCTTTTGATCCTCCTGTGGGGAGCCCCTCAGACAACAGACCCTTGATTGCTTTTTTAAAAAAAAAAAAAAAAAAAAAATTCTTGGACCAGATGTGTTTGGAACTCAAAAGTTTTTCAGAGATGGCATTCATAGCATGTATGACACAGAACCTCCAGTGGGGTCTAAGCCAGCAGCTCACAGTCAAACACATAAATATTTCTGCACTGAATATAGAAATTTTCACAATAAATGGAATAAGTAAAGACCATAAACAGTGTCAAACCAGTTCAGGGCAAGCTTTGCCCTTAAATGAGTCTGGAGTTAAATCTGCTAAAGACGTTTCAGTTTCCCAGGTATTTTGGGTTTTGAAATTAAGGACAAGAGATTTTAGGTCTGTATTAGGTTTTTGAAACATTATAACACATTAACTTATTTGTGTTTTGAGGAGGGAGATGAGCCTATTGCAAATAGCTTAATTATACCTTTCCAAGTAATCTTTTGGACACAGAATTTGATGATACTGAACAGCATTTGAGCAAAGTGGATTGTCCCTGTCCCTGGGCTCCTGTTATGTGACCTCAACATACTTCGTCCTCTCGAGTCAGTCAGTGACAGTGCTATTGTGAGATCTAGGGGCCAGAGTGGGCCGACCTCACTTCTGAGACTCGCAGGAACATTCCCAGACTAGAATAAAAACCTCACCAAGACGTGGCTCTGGGAGCCAATTGGCATGCTCGGATTATGACTCTATCATAAAGTCATTACACAGTTGGATTATTTTAAGCATTTAAAAAAACAAAATAACTTCTTAATTTGAGGACTTTTTAAGAAAGTTTAAATCACTGACATTTTAAAAGTGGATCTGAGAAGATTTTCAGGGCTGTTATGCTAGGGATTCTACACATGGGAAGAGGAGATTTCCTGGAGATTGGGGTTGTCACCCATGAAGACATAGAGATCAAGGCTTACTTGGCTTCCAGGGCCAGTGCAATGATGCCTGCAGCCATGGGGGCTGAGGCGGATGTCCCCGTGTGGTTGTCCGTGCACCGCTGCCTTAGATCTGTAGTGATCTGAAAGACAGAAGTAAGAAACTTAATCTCTGAGATCAATGGGAGTCATACACATGTCAGCATTTACAAAAGTAGAATGGAGGGGTGTTGAAATATTTTAAGTTCCTTGTTCTTTACTCCTGGGGCCATATCCCTACCAGAAAGAGCCTGTGTAAGGGAGACTCTGCGACTTGTACTTCACTTCTGTGAAAACCAGAATCAGGACCAGGGCATAACTAGGGCTAGCATGGTAAAGGTGATGTATCTCCTTCAATTCTGCACTGGAGAAACCTCATTGCTTCACTTTACTGACAGCATCGGTCAAAACTCAAGTTCTTTCATTAGAGTTTTGAACTAATTTTCTTTCTTAGTGAGACAGTAATAAAACAAAGGTTTAGAACCATGGCCCTTGCAGGATGGTAATGTTATTCAGTAAAAGTTAACTAATTAACTTTTAACGTGTTTAAATAATTAAACACGTCAAATCAGCAGCCCAACACAAAACTTGGTATTGGCAGCATGAGGAATAAAGAAGTAAATCTCAACCGGGTCTGATGACATATGCTCATACTCCCAGCACTCTGGCACGCTGAGGCAGGAAGATCGAAATTTAAAGCTTAGTCTGGGCACCTTAGTAACTCAGATAAACCCTAACTCAAAACAAAAATGAAAAGGATTGAGGCTATAGCTCAGTATGAAAGCCCTGGGTTTAATCCCCAATACCCCACTGTTCCCTGCCAAAAAAGCATAGAGTCCCTATGTATCTTCTCCAAACTGTTAATTTTGGCAGAGCTGCAGTTTCAAGCCAAAAATAAGCTCGGCCATAGTGGACTTTTCTAGATGTCACAGAAATGCTGCATTGATGAAGGAAGACTTCCTCAAAGATTTCTCATGGATACAGGAGACAAGGCTGGGTCCAGTGTGCTTCATTAGCAACTGCAGCACAAAGCATCTGCTCATACATTATAGAAGGAGCAGAGCTAGTTCTCCATTTCTGTTTTTTAAATCAAAATGTGAGTACTAGATTATTTTTATTTTCTTGGCTTGTATTCAGTTCCCTTCAGCTGAAACTGAATAACATTACCATCCTGCAAGGGCCATGGTTCTAAACCTTTGTTTTATTACTGTCTCACTAAGAAAGAAAATTAAGTTTAAAGTCTCATTAACAAGATAAATTAAATTTTATGGAATAAGATACTCTGGAAAGCCACGGAATATCTCTAATATTTTCTTAAATCCTCTCTCCTGGACAAGAATCCCTCTTTGCTCCCTTGGGACTAATCTCACGTTTGTAGCGAGTGCACATGGCTTAGGAGATGAGTTATTGGACTTGCTGCAGTTATTAGAAGACATTAATCAATCTTTTTTTGGCATAAAGACAAGTATATTACCAAATATTACTGATAAGAAAACCGACATTAGAAAGACAGAGGGGGTAGAGGTGGTAGAAAACAAAGCCCCATTGTTCAAAGGTGCTTCCTTGAGGACAAGTGTGACAATGAGTTCACTCTCACTGGGAAGAAGAGCTACCAAATGTCCCAGAGATGGCTCCTGCCTCAGAAGTTTCTCCTATGTCATAGCAGGGTGTGTAAGGGGACTCTTCCATCACCTGTTAAGGAGCCAGATCAGCATCTTGGCTCATTTAGTTTCACATAACACTGGCTGTTCGTACTATCTTTTCTTTTTTTTTGGAGATCTCTATCATGCCCAGATTATTTGTAACAGATAAATATGAATGTTAATATAAAAGAAGTTGAAGAATGAACAAAAATGCATAGAACCACATAGCCATGGTGTGTGGGTCAACAGAACATTCTTCTACATTAAGAATCTCTCTGGACTTCCCACTATTGACTCTTAAAATATACTTTTTTATCGTGTAAAAAAAACACATAATTTTACCCTCCTAGCAATTTTCATGTGCACAGTGTAGTACTGTTAATTAAATATACATCACTGTATAGTATCTGTAGATCATTCTTATCTTCAGACAAATCCTCATTGCCCTTCTCCTTACCTCCTCACCACTACTATTCTACTTTCTGTTTTCATGAGTCTGATTACTGTAGATACTTCATCTAAGTGGAATTGTACGGCATTTGTCTTTTATGATGAGAGCATTTCGCATAGCGTACTATCTTCAAGGTTCATCCATATTGTAGCATATGCCAAGATTTCCTTCTTTTCTGAGGCTGAGCATATTGTGCCACATTTCCCACATCCATTCATCTGTCACTGGGTACTCGGGTTGCTCCCACACACTGGCTATTGTGAGTAGTTCTGTGACTGCACACAGGTGTACACGAATCTTTTTGAGATCTTGTTTCCAATTTTTTGAATATATAGTCAGCAGTGAGACTGGCGGGGGATCATTAAAAAGGTATTTCTACCTCACTGCGAATTATAGGTACCTTTGCAGCCTTACTTTCTCAAGCACTGGCCTTGAAGTTAGTACACATACACTCCAGAAGCAGCCTGTTTTTAGGTCTCAGGGGCTGAGAGATGGCCTTGCCTGGATTCTTCTCATTTTACCTCACCCCATGGTCACATTCCTTTGTGGAAAAAAAATTTTCTTCAACAACTTTTCTTGGTTCAAGATTTTTCATGATGTTTCCCCACTTGGCTCTCCTTGCTTATTCTTCAGCTGCACTAGATCCTTACAGTTCACAGAAAGAAATCCAGAATAAACACTCCAAGTGTGCATAGCATTGCTGAATATAATACACACAGCTACCTCCAGCCAGACACCAACAAACAAAATTCTATGATGTAGAATTTACAACAAGAATATTCTTCATCCATATATAGTCACTAGGTACATAGGCACATAACACAGGCTTAAACAAAAAGCTGCTTAGATATGAATACATACACACCAAAGTGCTAAGTGTGATTAATGGGAGCAAGCTTGTAGAATTCCAAGTCACCACTGGGCTGCCATTTTTTAAGCATTGTAACTAAATGAAACTTGAGACTAGAGAGTAGGGGTGCGAAGCGGGTACAGCAGGAAGGGGAGGAAACGGTTAAATGGAATGAGCAGGGAAAAACAACAAAAACATCCTCACTCCCTTCTCATCTGCTTTATGTGAAAATCCCAGCTGGGTCATTTTAGAAGAAAGTTACTATCAGTGGTGGAGATATTTGGGTGTAAATTACCAGGGAGATCTAAGGCAGCATTTTAATCAGTAAGAGAAGGCATGTGAATATCAGAGAATTTTAATTTCGGTTTTTAGAAAGAAAAGGCAAAGACCACCAAGGAGCATGCAGTCTTGAAGAAAAATGATGTCCTGAAAACTGGAACCACATGGAGTAACACCATTAGTCACAACACAAGCATACAGTATCTGACAGAGTAATTTAAAGGTGAGTTTCCTTCAATGTGGTACAGGGCGGGAGTCTACAAAGTCTATATGCAGCATAATAAAGCACTTTCGCTTCAGGATTTTAAAGAATTTGGTCTCAGTTCACTATCCAAATCAGAAACAGAATTGTTCTCCAAAGAACTTCTCAGATTGCTCAAAAAAGTATCACTTGTGTTCACGAGAGGGAAGTAAATTGGAGAGGATACCAGGCCCTGGGCCAGATCAAAGCTGTCCTGATCAGTAAGTTAGATTTTCAGCCTCTCTTTTAGGATCAGCAGCAGATGGTTCTTTGGATGCCACAAAGTTGAGGATGTCATCTTGGTGTGAAGGGTGTGTATTGTACTGGTCTAGTCTAGAGAGCTCCGTTGAGAAGAACTATTGCCCTTTCTCTTCCTGTGCTATTTCCTAGGAACATTTCTTAATATTTCTCATTGCAATATTTGAGAGTATTGGACTTACAGTTTTAGCCTGTTGATGCAATTCTCCAGGGGATCTCAGTTCAGAGTGACTTTAGTCCTAAGTGACAGCCTTTACAGTAACCCTGCAGGTAAGAGTTTCTCTCTCCCTGATAGCCTGTGATCTGTTTTATTTTCAAGGTGCCATACTGTCTCATATCTGTTAAAAGAGCAACCAAACAGATATTTTTAAAACATGAAACAATTCTGCTGTCTGTTAGGTTGAATGTTTCTGGTGTTGATTTTGATTTAGATCAGAAATGTGCCAAGAAAGCTGTTTCAGACACAGCTATGGGCGAGAAGGGCTGAAACTAAATCTTAAATATGTCAATGAACAAAACAGAAGGAGCTGATTAAGCATAGTCACTTAAAAAGGAACAGGGACCGGTGAATGTCTTTCGTGTCCACAGAAGACATGAAGACTGGTGTAAAATTCAATCACGAGTGACAAGTCGGTACAAAATCCCACTTTGGTCTTGCTACGAGAATCTGTAATGTGAAGTGTAAAAGTAAGGTTTTGTTGACAAATGTAACATTGCTATCACTAAAAAAAGATCCCATCTTATTTCAATTTTGTATTTCCATAACATTCACCTCAGTTCCATGTATCAACAACAGCTCAGTATTTATGTGTCAAGTTGCATTCCTCAAATCAAGCTCCTTTACACTCACTCTGTCCTATGCTTTACATTCTCCCACTTATTAGAACAACACTTTGAGTTCACTTCTTCTTTGATTCTTCAAACAAAACTCAGAGGTTTATAATCAACTTACCAAATTATATGTCTACGGGATATACACAATGCAGGGGTTAAAGTACAGGGATTATTCGCACAGTAATTGTTGCTACTTCACCGCTTCCCTTAAAAAGAGCTCCATAAACAATTTGTAGCAAAAGAGGCACTGTGCAAGGATATGTGGATATGTTTAAAGTTACATACAAACTTTGCAAAGAAGAAATTACATTTTTATAAGCTAAACAAATGGAGGCTAAGAAAAGCTAAGTGACTTGCTAGAGAACACACAGCAGTCACAGGGTAGGTAAGTGGTGAAGATATTAAATCCTGAAATAGCAAAACAAACAAACAAACAAAAAACTGAGTATAGTCATTCACCAGGACAAAAGCAAAAGAGCTAGAACATCAGCAACAATGCGGCTGAATCGGCCACGAGTCCCGGCTGAGGTCAGCAAGTGGAAATTTCA